TAATGATATGACCTATATATTAAACCTCTCTAGTATAACTATCTAAATTATTTATACAATTGAGACTTAAAAATATAATTGCTATTTAGTATTATAAATTTATTTAAACTCTATATATAAATAATCTTAGTAGTTATTTTAAACTTGTTATATATATATATAAATATCTTTAAGAAAAAGCTTATAATTCGATTTTTGAAGATGGTAATCCTAGTGTAGTAGTTGGGTTGTCATCCTCTAAGTAGCAGATCTAAGGTTCAAATCCCACTTACAATGAAATTTGAAAATTAATCCATATTACAGCAAACTGTTTCTTAATGATCAGTTGGATTTGTGTATCTGTAACCTTAAGTTGCACTATCTCGAATAGGAGCTCGGGGCATTTATGCCAAGTGTAATGTTATACATGCATAAAGGAATGTTAATAACCAGTATCACATAAGACTTCAGTGCAAGCCATAATAAGACCATCAGGCACAGTAAACTAAGAAACTAAAAAGTCAGAAGCTTACTTGGAAATTTTAGAGTAAAGAGATAGCATAAAATTTTAATAATACAGTCAGACTAATGGAAGTTTATGAAACACTCCCAAAGGGATAGGTGGATAAACTGGATGTCAAGATGTATAGAGGAGCACATGACCAACTAGGCTGCTAGAATCATCAGAGGAAAAAGATACATAAGTATACTATACCAGGCTATTTAAATTGGAAGTTGGGAGAATCTCGTCGGTCCTGAGTAGTAGTTAGTAAGAGATGATGAAGAAGACATCATGATGATTGGTACTGGAGTTCTAGTGAACTTTACAAGAGTAGAAATAATGTAATGTAGCAGTTAAACAGGTAATCTCTATAACTGCAAATGTTAGGTAACTATAACATGTTGCATAAAACTAGATTAGCTATATGTAGAACATAGAAGATTCTAGTAAGTTTTCTGTTGAGAATAAACTAGTCCTAAGGGTACTTGAAGGCATCGGGTACTTTGGATGGATGTAGCCTTGAAGATGTCCTCATGAGACATGATGGACTACATATGCAGAGGGTTTAAATAAACAAGACCCATAGTTGACTTGCAGGTATGACATCTAGTATAGAACCTATATAGTAATGTATAGACAGACTACTTAAATTAGGCACCAAAAGTGCACATATGACTAGTTGTAACCTTCAATGTAAAAAAGCTCCTGGAGGCACCTGTGTCCAAATACATGAATAAAAATGTCAACTCTCATAGACAGGGACTTTAACTCAAAAAAAAAAAATAATAATTCGATTTTTAAAATTTATAAGTTTGATAACAAGTTTTCTCTTAATAACACTTTATATTATTATTTAATAAATTAGATTATATGTACTAGTACTGAATAGTTTATATATACTAGTACTGAATAGTTTATATGTTCCCAATCTTGATTTTATGTAATTCAACTAAATCTTATACAATTTTTGTGTTTGGTATATAAGTTACCAAAATTTTGTACTTGTAATATAAAAGACTAAATATTTTATATTAGTAATTCAAATAATTTTTAAATAAAAATACTAAATAATGGTTTATATAAATTAATTTGTAACTAATATTGTACTTAATGCGATTTGCAAATTTTGTAGATTATCATCAAAAAAAACAATTTTTAGTGATATATCTTTAAAACTACTCCGATATCTGAATATGAAATTACCATATCGGAGTAGTTTTAAGAAATCACCCAACAATCATGATTTCTTTTTTTTTCGATCTATAAAATTAACAAAAATTTTTGCAATTGCATTCCAATAAACTAAGTTTCTATTTGTTAGAATTATTATTTAAAATATAACAACTTAAAGTTGGTAATAAGTTAGTGAACAACGTTATACGTACAGTACATACGAAAATTTTTGTGATTTTTCAAATTTTTTTTTTTTTTAATTTTCACGTTACACTTGATCTTTCCATAATCGGAAAACTTGAAGAGAATTATTTATATTTTTCACTATTAAATTCCGGAATCACCACGTATAAATTGATTTGTGTTTGCTAATTTCAAAAAAAAAATTTTATTGTATTTTATTCATTAATAATTGATCCTGCCTAATAATCTAACCTTTCATGTGTTTAATTTGGAACTTGTTGGTTATTTCCTTTTTGTAGAGTTTGTATTATTCGCGCTAATAAAGTCGCATAACGATAACCACAATAAGCTGGGTAATAACCGGACGAGATAACGGGATATGTTTTATAATTATCTGCTATTAGTATTAGACGAATAACTTAAGGTATAACAATCGATACCTTTTATTGAGTAAATGAGCGAAATGTACATAATATTTGTAAAAATAAAAAGGTTTTTATTGTTCTACGTATAATCCCTCCTTACACGCCTTAAAATAAGAAGCAACAACCGTTATAAATCCATAGCAAATCACATGCTTTAAATATAAATATAGTAATCTTCAGGTAGTTTTAATTGATAAATATAATAAAGTTCGGACTAATACGTATATTACCATTGGAATTCTTAATTAGAGTTACAAGTTTATTTTATTAACGATAAATAATTATAAAAGTTTTTATTTATTACTTAAATCATATACACGAACATCATTTATATCACTAGATGTGTCCGTACCTCCAATTTCTTTTGTACCACCAGTACCACTATCGAGAGTTGTGTTCGTACCATGATCGCCAATATCACCGACCGATATAGTAGCGGAAGCACCATCAGCATGCCCGTAACCAGGAATCGTGTTAACATTACTACTATTACCGATAGATTCATTATTTAACAGACTTGCGGCCAATTGAGGATTCCAACGTTTTTCAACTGCTATACGGTGACTCTTGTTCTTAAGATGTATCTCAAAATTCCCCAATGTAAGATCGGGACCAGGTTGATAGAGTTTTCCAGGACAGTCAAAACATTTAATACGGAATTCAGTTGGATGATGATTAGGACGTTGAATAATGTCAAAACAATCACGTGGATATTTTCGTTTTAATTGGTCTCGTTGCTGAATAATCCATTCTGGGAAAACCTTTAGTCAAAAATTTATTCAATTGTTACATAAAGATCACACGGTATACAATTTAAATGTAATTACTTTCACTAATTTATTATTATTATTATTATTATTATTATTATAACTTTTTTTTTTTTTTTTTTTTTTTTAAACCGTGTCGCGTTAAAATGAGAAATGAGGAATTACCGGTCTATTAGATGATAACGTATTGGAAACGGTTATTGTTGATGATGCTGTAGGTATTGGTAAATCATTCGCAGAAGTAGATGTATTTGCATGAGAGGTAGATGTTGGAGATATCGAAGTTGCGGTCATTACTGACGCAACAGGTTGATTTAAGGGCGCAGACACCAACCCTTCGGATACAACAGTATTCAAAGTTATTCCTTGAGAATCAATTAAGTTTTGATTATCTTGAGCTTTTATTTCTCTCTTAATCAAAGTATTGGACTGTTGCTTAACTTCTAACGACGTATTGGAAGTTGATGAGATTTGTCCTATTGACATCGAAGGTAAGTTTTGATGGTAACTCTCAATATGTTGTGGGCCTTTTTTTGAAAAGGGATCGATGGACGAAGGGTTATTCTCCATAAACGGTGAATTAGTTCCGAGATCATTTAAATTCAATGGGTTCGGCCGCAGTGAATTGTTCTTTTGAAAGTAGAGGCCTGACGATTAGGAAAAGGTCGACGTGTGTGAATGGCATACAAATTTAATCGACGTAGGAAATTTGGCCAAGTTACGCGGTAAAATCTTCGAGATTAATCCGATCATTTATTGTACTCTCGGACTTACCGCACGCATTACAAAGAGTCTGAAATAAATGATTGAAAGGTTTAAATTTGAAGTAATAAATTAATAAATAAATTAAATAAATAAATGAATGAATGAAAATCTAGAATCATGTACCTTCTCTCCATTAGGCCCTTTTCGTAGAAGAGGTGTTGATGTTGAAGGACATCCACAGCCACTACAATGCCATTCATCTAAATCCTTGTTCGTCAATCCTGTAAAAGCATAAAATACATATGTTCGTACAAATGTAAAAAATGAAAAAAAAAATTTAGTGTACAATCCATTATTTTAATACGTATACTTATAAACATATTCATTTATATCAGATGAAAATTAAAAATAAGTTATAACTAAAAATAAAATCAAATATGGACCTAACTCACGTCGATGAAGTTTTTTAGCACCCTCTGGAGTATTAGCATCAGTGACATCCGGAGAGTTTACCTGAACGATTCCTCGCAAATTACTTCCAATATTAGTACCACCAACAGCAGTACGTCCTCGTCCTCGCATTTTACCAGGTGCTAGAGACTTTTCAGATATTGCAGCGTAATTGTCATAACCCATGGAACTAGCTTTACGTAAAACAGGTGGCATGCCTGAAGAAGGAACTGTTAAAAAAACATTTTCATCAGTGGGATCTTGAACCACTGTAGTGTTATGGAGAAGAGTGCGATGCGTTTTTGGAGGTTCACGATCCGGTAAAATAACGCCTCGTCTACCACGAGTTTGACGTCTCTTGCGCCTAATATGCAAAGTAATGCAAAGTAATGCAAAGTAGATTTAGTACAATATATATATATAATTTATAACTAAAAATGAATAATCAACCTAGCATCTCTTTCTCTATCTTTTTCAATCTTGTCAATTTCAGCTTCAGTTAGCTCTACCAATAATGGAGTGTGTTGCTCAACTGCATCTTCTCTACGAATTATGTTTGTAACAGGAGGTAAAAAGTTTTGCCGAAGATCATCGTCTTGTATAGGTGATCCATCAAAAGGATGGCCCACGAGTATTAATGATTTTACGTATATTTGAATTTGTTCTCGAATAGAATGAGCTATTGCGGTTCTAATTAATTATTAATTAAAAAATAAAAAATAAAAATGTATATATGTATATATGTATGTTAAAAAAAGTATAATTATCAAGAATAAAAGAAAAAAGAAGCTATCAACATACTTAAATTCACCTCCAAGACCCAATTCTGTCGTCAAAATTTCCGCAAAAAGTTCAGGATCATTTTTTTGACAATTAATGTCCCATTCAAATTGATCCACTAATGATATATTACCAACGGTTACGTCAATCTAAAGAAAATCAAGTTAAAACATTAAATGATTTGTTCAGAGAGGTTAACGATAATAATATAAAATTTGCCTTGATTAAAATTCGAAGTTCTTCAGTAGAATTAGATTCATCGGTATTAGAATTTAAATAATTGGAATCATTCTCATCTTTGATCTCTTTCGTGTTTTCGGTAGAATTTTTTAAAGCCGAAAATACCTCAGCAGTTAAAGTAGGTTGAGAAGACTCCGGTGATGACAGAGGATGGATGATATATCCTTGTAATTGATCGCGTATTTGTTTGACAATTATTGGAGCAAATTGTGAAGTAGGGAAATGTAAATCATCACAAAGAACCTCCGCAAAATGTTCAGGCGTAATAAACGTTTCTGATCAGTCAATATAATTCACCACACAAAATAAATCCATAAAGTTAAATGACCATTTTTCTAACTTTAACCATATTTTTATAAAAAGTCAAATATATAAAAGGGCGTCTACCATTCATATTCCATGTAAAAGTATCTCGTAGTTTGTAACCATCAGCGCCATCAATTTCTAATCTTATCGGAACTAATATATCTTCTCTTTGTGCGATATCTTTTAATTGTTGTAATGTACTAAAAAAATAGACACAAGTCATATACATAAAAATTAATAAAAATAATGGATAAAAAATAATGGATAAAAATAGATAAGGTTGAATAGATAATTTTGAGGAAAAAAAATTACAATTTAAATTCCTTTGTTCTTTTAGGCCTTTTTCTTTCGTTTGGATAAATAATGCGAAACTTTGTTCCTGTCACACCATTTCCGTAACCTTGATATCCTGGACCAAACACGAATGGACTAGATCGATATTGATACCTTTGTTCAACTTGAGCTATTTCTTTACGTTTTTCGTTTATGATAGACATTTGCCTTCTATGTTGGAGATCTAACGCTTTTTGATATAAATTATCACGACGAACATATTGTTCCAAATACTCTTTTTGAACGATAGTAAGATCAGGTGCAGGTTCATAAGGTTTAACAGCTTGTTGTTGAGGTTTTTTAGGATTAGAGTCATTAGGTTGTTTTTGACTATGGGGGGAACGATGTGCACTCTGGGAAGGCGCAGTATTTTGAACGGGTCTTCTCATTTGAAGCATCATTTGTTGTTGAGTTTGTTGAGCTATACGTTGTTGTATTTGCACTCTATGACGTTGAGCAGCTAATTGTTGTTGCTGATTTTGTAATTGTTGTTGTTGTTGATTTTGTAATTGTTGTTGTTGCTGTTGTTGCTGTTGTTGTTGTTGTTGCTGTTGCTGTTGTTGCTGTTGTATAGGTAATAAATTTTGCCTAGGAGTGGCAACCATTTGTCCTAAAGATCGATTAAAACTTGGTCGGAACACATCCATTCCCATGCCATTGATATTACCTTGATTACCGTAAACAGAGTTGTTAATGGCTGACATGGATGGTATTTGAGTCGAGGATGTTACGGGTAACGACTGGTGATTTTGAAAAACGTACGGATTAGAGAGAGTTGAAGCACTTTCACCACCTAAACCTCTAAGTTGCTGCATGTTTTGATTGCCCGTAGTCCCATAGTTATACATGGGTATCTAAATTATTTTGCTCTTGGCGTAATTCTAGACAGCCGAAATTCCGAAAATATTTTAGTACGCCGAAAGTATTTTCGAATGACAAATATATTATTGGATGGCGAAAATATTTTTGTATGGCGAAATTGACGAAAATATTTAACTAGTTTTTTTATTGATGATGAAAGATCTAATTGATTTCGGTGCATATTTTTCATATATCCCCCCAAGTTTAAGATATCTAATTTTAGGGTACATACTCATAATTCTTAACCGACACTCATTTCGTAGACATAACATTTCACTGAAAACCATTTGCCGACATGTTTATTTATTTAACCGACAAGTTCATTTTACTATTACCTACAGTTTATTTCGAAGCTCATTACATCTGAAAAAAAACTTGTCTGTAAAATGAGCTTTGGAATGATAAATTTTGGTAAATTTTCGATTTAGGAGTTACAATAATGCTGGCAGAGCTTTTGTAAATCTGGTACTTTATGTATAACATGATGAAAATTACATGAAATTTAATTTCCTGAAAATTACATGTAATGTAAAATTGTAATTATGTAACACAACCCTAGAAATAAGCTGTCGGTGAAATAAATTTGTCAGTGAAATAAAACATGTCGGCGAAATAAAACATGTCGGCGAATTTTTTAATCGTGGTTTTATTAAATGCATAATAATCTAAAGCAATTTAAAAAAAAAATTTCAAGCCAGGGATGAATGTACTGCTACTTTAATATATATTACTTAACCTTGATCGGTAAAATTTAAACTTCAAATTGTATATGTGTGAATCATGTAAATTATAAATCGTATCAGTATGTAATTGGACAGAGTTAACGGTTAAAAAATTCATATGCCTTTAGCAAGCGGGCGAAAATAATTTCAGCAAGTCAAAGTAATTTCGAAGGTAATTATCTTGCATACTAACAAAAAGCTTTTCTCACAAACTTTTTATAATGATAAAGCATCTTTCAACTTAATCTAATACCTAATTTAACGAGATACAAGTATAAAATATATTTACTCTTGTATGATTATAATATATTGACAGCCTGTAATAATTTTGACAGTCTAAAATAATATTGGCAGTCTATAATAATATCGACAACCAAAAAAATTTAGACACTCATCGCGCGTTGGTTGGCAGGATGTTATTACTGCGATTGAGATTGATGTAATAATGCAGGATTTGTAGGAAGACCAAGCGAACCATTATTATATCCAGCTTGCTGTGCTGACTTATATTTTGCAATGAAGATCAACGTGATGAACGATCGCCTTAGCGTTAGAGGGTATTGATCACGAGATATGATTGGCGTGAATGGTACCACGATGGTTCCCTTTATAGTTTAGTAGTAAATTTCAAAAGTTTTTTTTTGCTCGTGTAGAAAAAAACTCATTTCATTATATAAATGTATAAAAAAAAAAAAAAAGAGTATAAAGTATTTTGATAATTAATTTGCAAATGATTTGTTTTTCATAACCGAATAAAATATTGCCGTTGATAATTTTTTTGATTCTAAGAGTAATGCTTATGCTTACTCAAGAAAATCATCCAAAGCACGATCGAGTAAATTTATAGAAATTAACCCGGTTGACGCGAAGGAATTATACAAATTAACGGATATGCCCATTATAGGAAATAATATAATAAATATGATAGGAAATATTAAGTGAAACGTCAAAATATATCAGAAATGACTTTTGGTTGAATCTTTAATTTAACCCCCTTTAATCTTATTATCACTCAAGAAAATCAATGATCGCATATTAAGCAAGGCAACAAACATTATAAACAAAATCCGTACCCCACATTAACATACATACTAATCGACAATGGAAAAATGTATTCACTACTATTTGTGTCTCCACGCGTAACTTGTGTACAAAGTCACATCATGATCTGTGCTAGAAGAGTTGTGCTTAACGTTAATTATACGTATTTAAGAATCATAATGGCGAATTTTGCCTAAAAAGTTCCTATCGTCAAAAATACAATGAACTCAAAACGGTATCGGTATAAAATCAGCATATAATAGATATAGTACTGTAATAGACTGTAGTAGACTGTAATAGATTGTAACAGATTATAATAGAGATAGACAAATAGATAATAGTTGATAAACATGAATAAATTTAAAAAGATTTGTACGAGCGAAGAAGTTCATGCATGTTCTTTTATTAAAAAATAAATAAATACGAATTTAATTAAATTAACTTAGCTAATTGTTCCCAAATTTGTCATTCGAAGTGAAATTCAGTAATGCACATCAAAAGAACTAGTGCAGAACTAGTGCAGAACTAGTGCAAAATTAATTTCATAAAAAATCCTGCATCATCATTCACTAAAAATATAAATAACAAAGCAAGTAACCCAAGTATATACTTACTTTCTTGATATTGATATGAAGTTAATAACGTTCTTTGAATTTTTTTTGTGATAGAATCTCCCATCAAACTAACTAAATTACATCCGATTAAAAAACTTATCTTCTAACTAATAATATCCAATCATCGTTACTCAGAAAAGGATTAATAGATCTAAAATATAGAATAGAAAAACTTAATTTAAAAATATTCGAATGAGAGAGTGTAAACCATTCACTCTTGGTAAATGATGCCATGCTTTTAATGTTATCTTTTCTCAATTTGGTTGGTCAATACAGTTTAAATTATCATGTGCAAAAAGGCCCGTGCAAGGAAAGTATGTATATAAATAAAAATAAAAAATGTTACTCCCCCATTCTCCTGCATGCAGTACTTACATTATTCGATTCAAAGTTTACACCTCATAGTCTTATGATAATTCCTTGTGTAATCATGTTTACCACAAAAGTCTTCATTAGCCTTCATTAGTACACGGGGAACCAGTCACTATTCGTTAATGTGTCTGATCGGCCTGACTATTTTGAGTTCCATCGTGTGACGATCTCAGATTAAACATCTATATTTACCTTATGCATATTATACCTTATCCATAACATGCTCAGTTTATAGTAATATCCTGTTCTCAATACTTATTATAATAATTGATATTTATCCGTAGGAAATGCGTTTATATGCTCTCTTGATTATCTTAATTACACATATTTCTTTTTTCTTTTCATTTTTTTTTTTTTTTTTTTTCTTGCCATTTTTTTTTCCTGCTATTTTTTTTTTTTTAAATTGCTGGGAAAAAATAATTTATATAAACGAAAATCAACTCTTATTTAGGTTTCCTAGTGCTGATCTTAAAATTTATTTGCCCTGGTTGGTTCAATCCTATTCCCGAATTCTGGTCATCCGGTTTAAAAAAATGTTATTGATAAACTTTACCCAATTTTCACTGCATATATTCGTCTGCATCTTATTTTTTTTTTACTGTAAAAATTACTGTAAAAAAAAAAATTATTTAGAGGCTATTTTTGTGTTTGTGCACTATATCGCTATATGAACTATTTCATTTGTGTAATTAAAAAAAAAAAGTGTCCCTTACGTAAGTCATAGAAGGCAAGAATGTTTTGATAGACATGATTTCGTCAAATTAAGATAAATATCGATGGTAATCCGACACGGAAAAGGTTTCATCTCATTTTTATTACAAAAAAAAAATATTTATTTATTATAAACTACGTTCGATTTAATTATGACGTCTTCTAACCCTTCTAAGCGTCCACGCTTATCTGAAGTGGCCCAAAGTGACTCTCATCTAGAAGAGAACCATCAGCATTTACAACTTCATTCTCAACAATTTCAAGTAAACAACTTACAAAATAACATTCCAAAACAATTATATCAACACAATCCGGTTATTGTTAATTTTCCCTCTCCTCAACAACAATCCTTCCCAACTTCTTCAGATAATATGGATTCTTTATTACCATCTTCTGACCTTGATAACAAACATGAAGAGCCTTTGACTAAACATGATTTACAACGACTTGAAAAAGTCATCGATTTGATGTTTCCAGATAAATCTGCTGCTGCAAAAGAAGCTGCCACAAAGCTTTTAAATTCTTCAACCATTCAAATTCAGTCATCTTCCTCAAGAGATGATAATACAACTTCTGTTGTTCTCGACTTTCCGATCATCCCTGAGCAAGCTACTGAGACAGAGCAGATAATGTCTCCATTGGGTTATCTGCTAAACCATACCTATCCTAATTCTATAGTTGAATTAGTTAGCAAACTTAACAAGATGTCTATAAATCCTGCAAATTTGGACTTTTTTAATCCAAATTCTAACCCTTCATTCACTCCTACAAATAATCCTCCTTTCACTGACCCTTCTGCTAAATCGTCAGGCCCTCCAACAAAAGAATTATGTAAACAATTAATAAACGATTATTTTACCAAATTTAATATTATCATTCCTATCCTTAATCGTAGAAAATTCATGAATCATTTTGGTGATAAAACAAAACATTCCGAATTGCTTGTCAACGCAACTTTAGCCGCTGCTGCAGCAAGATATTCTGATGATCCTTCAATTCGAAAAACTCCCAATAAACCAGGTGGCGTGTTTTTCGACTCCGCAAAGGTACGTACGCGATATTTTTTGTGCATGTTTTATTTGTTCACGTGACAAATGACGTGTTTTTCTCATCTAAATTTTTTTTAAATTAGAGGTTATTAGATTTGGTGTACGATACACCAAGGCTAGAAACTGTTCAATCATTAATTCTCTTATCACATGCAGAGGTCAGTGTGTCACGTATGAATAGTGCGTCTATGTTTCTTGGTATGGCTGGTATGTGTTAAGATTCGTGATTACGAGTTCCATTTCGTCGTTAATGTTAATATTGTTAATATACCAATTATTCTTAATTATCATTTGATTTCTAACTTAATTTTTAATTAAATTTAATTTCTAATTAAATTTCTAGTACAAATGGCCCATGCTTTACATCTTGAACGCGATGATATTTCTTTACCTTTAGAAGAAGATGAAGAGAGACGAAGAGTGTTCTATTGTATTTATTGTTGTGAGAGGTTTTTATCTTTTTTTCGTTTGTTCGATTTCTAATCTTATGCTTGCGTCAATAATAATAATAATAATAATAATAATAATATATTTATTATATTTAGATGGGCATCATTCATATTGGGCAAACCTTCGTGTATTGATGACACAAATATTAATGTTCCTTTACCTACAATGATGTCATTCAACATTTTAACAAGGAGTTTCTTCATAGCATGGATAAAGTTATCACGTATACTTGGCCAAATTTGGAAATTTGGTTATTCTTCTCAACCAAAAGCATTTCGTGCTAATTGGTTGGATCATGCAACTGATCAAAAAAGCTTGTTAAGACAAATACGTTCGACATTAGCAAAATGGCTAAAAGAATTACCTGATGAATTACAATATCAATATTTAATTAATAATGACCAACAAGGTCACATACAATTAACTACTTTTTCTACTTTTGCTGGTAATATATCTAATACTGTAAATGTCTTTATTTATTTTATATATTTACATTATTAATTCGTTTTTTGGTTTGTTTGTTTCTTTTTTTAGGTTATATCAATATTCTTTTCCATACATGCATAATCTTACTTCATCAACCTTATTTAGCTCAGGCATATCGTGATCCAAAAATTGAAAAGCGTAAACAGGGTCCAAATGGTCCAATTAAAACGTGTATTACCGCGGCATTAACAATTACCGACATTTCTAAAACAACTCAGAAATATAACAAAGAAGCATTCTGCACCTTTCAATATCCTATCTATGGTTTATTGCAATCAACTATACTAGAATTAGATATTGCGAATGGGAATCGAGGGTATGAATCAGGTGCTAAAAGGTTCATAAACGATTCAATTGAAGAATTAAGATTTGCCGCTGAAAATTCTAAATTTACTTTTCTCCAAGAAATGGTTAAAGAATTAGAAGGTGTAATGATGATAGCTAATGGAAGATCTTCTGATATTGTAATTCCATTTCCTATTGTTTTGCAAATGTTGGAATCTCGAAGTAGTTGTGGTCTATCAAATAGTAATAATAATTTCGCTAATAATGGATGTGTAAACTTTGGTAAACCCTTTGGTTTGTCAAAACCCTCAAATAATTACAAGTCTCCTGGTTCTGTATCATCCAACTTATCAGATGATGATTCAAAAATGGTTGAACCGCCAAAAGTTGAATATACTTCAACTGAGCAAACACCTGAACATCCAGCTATTAACAGATCGCCACCAGTAACATTATTAACTGAAACTAATAGATCACCTTCAGTAAATTTACTGACTGAAAAATTAGCACCTGCGTCTATGTCATCACCAATAAATTATCACCAGCAACATCCTCCCACGACACATCAACAACAAACAAATCCTGATGTGTATATGATGTCACCTGATTATCAAGACCAAACATCATTACAATTTAATCAACCTCAATCTAACATTGGACATCATATCTTATCTAATCCAACTGCTCCGTGGGATCAACCTCCATTCTTTATGGATAGTGAAATATATGGTTTTGTAAACGCTCATAATTACATGTTGGGTGTTTCACAAATAACGGATAATTCTTCGGAAACAAATGGCAGTTTAATCGACGATTTGACAGGATTATATTCAATTATGAAAGATGTCGATGGAACCAATTCTACCTCTCTGTAACAATACTGGTGATATAATATTATAAATTATTGGTCAATTACTAATGTAGGCTTTTATGTTTACTAAAATTCTATTACATAAGCTATTTAACCACGATTAACTTTTAGATTAAATGTATGTTCTGAGATTTCATATTAAGATTCGAAACCACCTTTTAAAGAAAATAGCATAGATTTATTCCATGTCTTACTAATATTTTAAATTTAAAATTTAGTAAATTTTGATATCTTGCTATCTGTAAAATTTATATTGAATAATATTATGGTGTAATATTATGTAAAAAAAAAAACTTATTTATATGATTCAAATTTAAATTTAATACTACTTTAAAAAAAAAAAAGGGTTAAATATATTTATTGTAGATAATGGGCTATTTTTGCTATATGTATATATGTATAAAGATTGATTATTAATATATTTACATTTTTTTTAAATACCGTGTTAATTATAATAAGCATTTTAATAAATATAAGATAAATAATTTGTTTACATAATCTATTGTAACACTACGTATTACAGTATTATTAAAGTATTACGGCTAATCAAAACAATAATAATAACATAGTGCAAAGATATCTAAACCAACAAATTATTTAAAATGTGATCAAATTACCGTTACGTAAATAGCACCTTCATAAGTGCGTACCTTATAAGTTCTCACTTTATATACATATCGCATCTATAAATTATATCTGAACATCTTTGATTTATCGAGATTATTCTTTATAAACTTATAATTCTTACATATATTTTTTTTTTGATATATATTTATTGGTGTATTAAATACTCCTGCAATTTTGCTTTATACGTAACGTAAAAACATTCTAAACCTGAAATATATTAATATTATACAAATTTTTGATTACAAAATAATTCTAATAATGATAATTTTTATTTTTTTTTAATCTGTTTTTGTTTATTAAGATTACGTAATAATACATCTAATTGTGTATAAGCACATATCGATATGTTATCTAAGCTAATAAAAACTCATCTGACCTATGAGCGGAAAAACTTAATAATTTTTGTTAACATAATAAAAATTCAAAAAATAGATGTGACATATATGACACATAATAAAATCTGCAGATTCGAAGAAAATTTTACTTACAGAATTAATTTTCAATCTGCGCATCGCAGATTCCGCATATAGATTTTAAAACCCACCTATGAGTTCAAGTGCGATGTATCTAAGTAACCATTTGCTTTTTTGGAATCTTTAACTTATTAAAAATTTTGCTTCTGTTGGCAGTTGCTGACCTGATCAAATCTATTTTTTTTTTGATACATTCAACTTATATTTTAGTTTACTATCTAGTTAATAATAATATTTATTGATCAAATTACAGATTTGTTATATAATTTATAATATTTTTTTAATTTAAAAATTTTTTGGTTTATCTTTTCTAAACCAAATTTTTATTAGTTTGTAATTTATTATATTTTTTAAATAATTTAATTGCCAATTCATCTAAAATAAATAGTATTTCATGTGCAAATTACTATTAAATTTATTATAATTATGAAATCTTTATTTTCTTTATACTAACTATTTATTATTATTATTATTATTATTTATTAAACTAGTTTTCTAAAACTAAGGTTTTTTATTCAGTATTATAGGACACAAAATCTCATAGTTAAATATCTCAGTGAAGTTATTTTATATTAAAAGATACATCTAGCTATATATACTTTTTTTTTTTTTTTTTCTTAAGCAGTCACGCTAGTACTTTATTAAGATTTTGAAATTACATTTGCAATTACATAAATATCCTTAACATCTAAGTCTAGCATCACCTGGCCACCTTAAAGGTACCTAAGTGTAACCTGTCACATTACTTCAAGCAAAAGTAAGCTATTTGTCTAACTACTTAAAGTCCATAATAGAAGGATCTTCTCCCTTCTATAATAAGTCTCAAAATTGTCTTCTGTGTTTCTGTTCTGATTTGTTCTTCTTTTTCTCTTGTTTTTTCTTTCTTTTCTTCTATCTTTTGCTGATTTGCCTTTTTCTTTTTGCATGATCTTGTCTTCTTTTTTTCTCTTTCTCTTTTTAATCTACCTGTTATTCCTACTTTTCTCTTTCATTCAATAATCTTCTCACATCAGACTCTCTATACTTGTTTGTAAAATATATTCCAAGCTATATTTGCTATTACATTTGCAAACTGCTGTCTTGACTTTTTGTTTAGGAGCTGTCATAATCTATTTTGTATTTCTTTTGGAATTAGGCTTTTAATTAGAGCCTCTCTTATTTTCATTTCTTCTGTTTTTGTTTTACTAAAGAGTACTATATATAACACATATAGAGGGACTCGGATTTTTTCCTCTTCACTAAGTCTCTTCCAGGTTGTTGCAATGATTACTTTCTGTATTCTTTTTCATAAACTTCTTTATTCTTTGCATGCTGTTAAATGCATTTGTGTTTCTTTGACTTTATCTTTGCACACTTGGCATTCAGTCATTGTATACACATCTGATCTTCTTCTGTTAAGTTCTTCTAAGATCAGAAGTTTGTCTATTACATATTTTATAAATGTACTTCTTCTGGTACTAATTCTTCTTGTTGTACAATGTACTTCTTTCATCATCTTTAGCCTTTTTCAAAAAAATATCCAATCATAAATTGTAACTTCTGTTTTAGGTTCTAATTCTTTAATTGTTTTTGTTTCTCTCCATTCTACTTCTAATTTTGTATTTGTTACTAGCTTACATAACAATCTTACTGGTATGTCAGTTCGTTTGTTTTCCCACTCTAAGCAGTACTTTATTTCTTTACAACTAACTTCTTCAACCTGTATTATTTTCTTGCTCACTGCTCCTTTCTTTGCCAGCCTATCAGCTTTGTTGTTCCATTTATCTTTATTGTGACTCTTTATTTTAACTAACTTTATCTAAATGTTTTTTGTTGTAATAAGCACAGGTTGAATGAATGAATAAAGGGTAAATAATAGGTAAATAACAGAAAAAAAACTGCCATTATTCTACCCTATATCTGCCAAAT